CAGGGCTGCTCTCAATCCATTCACCGCCCAGTCTGTATTTGTGCCTGGGATTGCCACGACCCAGATGTAGGACCTTGCATTTGGCCTGGTTGAACTTCATGAGGTTGACACGGGCCCACCTCTCCAGCCTGTCGAGGTCCCTCTGGATGGCATCCCTCCCTTCCAGCGTGTCGACGGCACCACACAGCTTGGTGTCATCGGCGAACTTGCTGAGGGTGCACTCCATGCCACTGTCCACGTCACTGACAAAGATGTTGAAAAGGGCCAGGCCCAACACGGACCCCTGAGGGATGCGACTCGTGACTGGTCTCCACTTGGACATTGAGCCGTTGACCACTACTCTCTGAGTGCGGCCATTGCGCCAATTCCTTATCCACCGAGTGGTCCATCCATCAAACCCATGCCTCTCTAGTTTAGACAGAAGAATGTCGTGCGGGACAGTGATAATTTCAATTAGATCTAAGGAAGAAATTTTTCACTGTGAGGGTGGTGAGGTACTGGAACAGGCTGCCCAGAGAAGTTGTAGATGCCCCATCCCTGGAAGTGTTCAAGGCCAGGTTGGATGAGGCTTTGGGCAACCTGGTGTAGTGGAGGGTTTCCCTGCCCTGGCAGGGAGGTTGGAACTAGATGATCTTTGAGGTCCCTTCCAACCCTAACCATTCTATGGTTCTATCTATATCTATATAAACTAGTTTAAAACAACAAGTCATTCCTGGGGTAATCCACCATCAGTGTTACAGAACTAAACTGTAAGCAAGTAGTAAATATATGCACCTAACTGAAGGTACATCATCATGGTATTTAGAAACACTTTCCACTCACAGCTGTTGGTCCTCACTCGAAATCAGGAAGAAGGCTTCCAAATATGCCTTCTTCCACTCAGAAGCTTTCCTTTCCTCAGTTTGGAATATAATATGCCTGCATTCCTCAAGGGCAAGAGCTGTATACATACTGTATGCATGTATTGATGCAAGCCCCACTGAAGTCTGTTTCTGAAGAATGGACTAAGATATATATGATACAGAAACAGCTAACTAAACTTGTGTTCCCTCACAGAACTCTACACTTGCCATATATTCAGATTGTAAGGCTCTACCATAACTTAACAATTCTTGTTAATAGCTTCTATCTCACAAGTTAGTTTTTTTTAAAAACATTTGATAAAATACTTGTTTTACTCTGCAATGAATTTGAGTCTGAAAAGGAAACTACACTATAGTCACAGTGCATTTAGCTGGAAGACATATAGCAAGTATCAGTTGCCACCAATATCTGATATTTCTGACAAAAATGAGGTAAAGAAGCAGACAAAGGCCCCTTTGCAAGTGGAACTACTGAGACAGGGAAGCCAGACAATCCTAACATCCTGAAAATTAATCTCTGCAGACACAACCAACCTATAAGCTGAGCCAGAAATAACTAATTTTCTAAAACACCACCTCTTTCATCATCTAGTTCTTACTTCAAATAGGGAATTGGCTTTCCATCTCAAGATACTGGCAAGAAGGCTTGAGCATAGTTAAAACAACTCACACCATTAGTCTCAACCATAAGTTCACAGTAGGCCCCTCTGTGTAAACGTTCCATATCTCTCAACTTTTATGATGTTAGGTGAAACACACTGTATTTCTTCAAACTGAGAAGATGATTATTCTTCAAAATTACTTCGAGATATTTGAGGAATTACAATTCAGACCTGCATTATAAGGTTGGTTAAATACACACAACTGGCAGAAGAAACAGAATAGCAGCCCAGAGACATTATAAAAATTGTATGCATGTGGCAGAGGTTCTACCTCTTTGGGTTACACTATAGGACATCATTCTCCAAATCCATTAATCTCTCCCTACTTCCAAAAGGAGTATCCCTTCTCCTTTGCTGTAAGTATGAAGCATTTATCTTCTTTCAACTTGGGTAGGATCTCTAGTTTCTTGCTGGTTTTCCATTATTTTCTGGTGAGGTAAAGACAAATTCCTCTAATCCTTCTATTGCCCGAAGCTTTGCATTATGGCAAGTCTTTAACATAGCTTATCTTATATTTAACTCTGTTGAAATAGGACCTACCATTTTCTGTGTCTCAGGTTACCACAGATAAGAAGCTGCTGTATGTCATCAGCTCTATGGCAACAGCTTACATGCAGGCTGTCCTCAAGGGCTAGTGTCTTGTATTACCGCAGAGTAAGAATCTGCATCTGAGCACTCACTACAGAGGCTCCACAAACACCCTTGGTTTTATCATCTCCTCACTTTTTGAATCACGACTGAACAAATCTTGGAAGTCTTGAAGGTGTTTGTAGTTTTCTTCCTTTGTTGAGTGTGCTCAGAGGGTGCCCTTCAAAGGCAGGGGAGACAAAGCCTCACATGCTTTCTTTCAGTTAAATTCCTTGGACATTGACCACAGCTCACAGCAGCAGTCATGTTCACTCCTGAACAGAGGTTGCTCTCTGCCACTAGCAATTGTGTTCTCAGCCCTCTGAATACATACACAACTTTACAAACTCTTACTTAGATATGGGAAAAATATCTTACCAGCACAACTTTCACCTCAAAGAGTTAAAAGTTTCTGGTAAAAGGAACGGGAAACTGTGGTCTTATAAGAGGTTACCAGATTTGATGGGGTTTTTTTGTTCTGTGCAAAACAACTTTCCCCATTGTTCTCAAAACCACACTTAAGTTCTTAAGGATTGAGCCTGAGGGAGACATCTGGCATGGAATGTGTTAGACTGTTAGAATTTGGCAATATTAGTAGCAAGTGAAAATAGAAGTTCTTAATGGAAAGTGTCAAGCACCTTTAACAAAAGATGATATTACCATAAGGGCCTGAGAACTTTTGCAGCAGGACTGCTATACTCAAGAGAAAAAAAAACACACACAAAAAAGCCTTCCTAATCCTGTTGTGGCTCAGCTGAAATCCTGTTAGTATTGAGGCACAAGTGGGAAACAGAAATACAACTGTAAAAACAAAAAAAACACACACAGAAAAAAGAGAAGTAACATTACTCCAGTTCAAAGAACAAAAGCTTCAACAGAAGTTTACAAAATTCAAAATCTGGTAGCGTCCTCCATTAGCAACAGCATCCCATATTATTTTTACAGGTAAACAGCACATTTCGATTATGTTTTGGAGATAAGACCAGCAGAAAAGAAACTAAAGGCTTTTATTTTAAGGAGATTAAGAATATCACGCTTCTGACCGTTTCCCATTAATGTGCTTTTAACACTGAAACATTACAGCATTGTAAGTTTAAACATAGCATTCTAAGAAAAGGAATCAACCAAAGAATTGAGTTTTACTTACTGAAAATAGGAATGCAACCACAGCTGTTTCTGTGCTGTCTGTATACTGTACGGGAGTGAGCCACCAGCTTAAGAAAAAATAGAACATGTAGGTTTGTTTTTTGAAAGATATTCTAAAAGCAGCAAGCATCTTGGGGAATAAGTTACCTGCACTATCCTCATGGCTTATTTTCAGAAAATAGTTAAATGCTCCAGTAGTATAAAATGGTATATAGGTAGGATTTTTTTTATTATTATTCTTATAATTTAGCATGTTCCTAAACACTGTGTAGTAGATTTACACGAGGAAAAAGAGAAACAGTATAAAGGCTATGGAATTAGGTCCTCTTAGAAGATGGATGTTTATAGGTAATTTTGTTATGATACCACTTGATATCAACAGATTAGAATCATTATCCATACAAGCTAGAAGGAATAAAATAAGCAGTTTTTAGGAAAACAAACAACCAAAAACCAAAAACAAACAACCAAACAACATTATTTTAAAGAGCAAGAACTGCTCTGATTAAATCATATTTGTATTGATTTAGTCTTTGGCTAATGCATATTGTGATTTCTTGAAATGAATTTAACAAAGAAGAATCAGTCATGGAATACTGAGTTATTTTACTGTCGTGTATTAAAAACATGATGCAAAACCTACTGCATTCAGCCTGTCCTAGAAGGCACCACAAGGACCTGTTCCGAAAGCTTTTCAACTCTCAGGGATGCACTAACTGCAGGAGTCCATGGAGCTGTTCATTTGCACAAATACAGAGTTATGTAATTTGCCAAGTTATTTCACAGCATAAAAGAGACAACAGTAAGGAGTGAGTCACTGTGCAGATTGCATCTCTGATTTCAAGAGCATCAACTTTGCTGAACAGATGCTGTGGTCAACCAGATGTATTTCAAAAGACCCTAACTTACTTGTGGGAACCACAGATACGTGTAAACTCACTGGTTGCAGTTTCTACATATGTTCAAACACTGCTCAGTTTAGAGAATATTCCTGCTAGTTCTGCATTCAAATTCCACCAATTGTTAGAGTAGCTCAATAGCTACTCTACTTCATACTACACAGAAGCATAAGTATCCAGCCTGGAACAAGAACACATGTTTATGGATTCAGCAATGCCAAAGAATCACTGAACTGTTAGAGTTGGAAGCACCCTGTGGAGATCATCTAGAATAACTCCCTGCTAAAAGCACGGTAGAACACAGCATGCTCCTCGGTACAGTGTCCTGTCAGGCTTTGAGTATCTCAAAGAATGGAAACTCTACAACCTGTTCCATTTATACACTAGAAAGCATTTTTGCTGTAAAGGTACACTAGCATCTCCTGTATCTCGATTCATGTCCATTGCCTCTTGCTCTTTCACTGGTCACCATGTGAAGAATCTGCCCCTACTTTGCATCCTCCTATCAGGTATTTATATGGACTAAGATCTCCCAGGAAAGCTCTCTTCTCCAGGTTGAAGAATCATCCAGCTCTCTCCACCTCTCCTTGTATGACAGATGCTCCAATCCCTTATTTCTCTTCACGGCCTTTTGCTGGACTTGGTTCAGGATGTCCATGTCTGTCTTGTACTGGGAAGCCAACAGCTGGACACAGCACTCTGGATGCTGTTTCACCAGTGCTAAATAGAGGGGACAGGTCACCTCGGCCTGCTGGCAACACACCACTTAATGCAGCCCAGGATGCTGTTGGCCTTCTTGCCACAAGGGTGCATTGCTGGCTCATGGTCAGCATAGCGACCACCAGCACTCCCAGGACTTTTTTCTGCAAAGCTGCTTTTCCCTCCCTCCATCAGCCCCCGGCATGTACTGGTGCCTGGGGTTATTCTCGCCCCAGCCATAGTACTTTGTATTGCCTTCTGACAAACTGCTTGAGGTTCCTGTCAGCCAGTTTTTCCAGCCTGTACAGACCCTCTGAATGGCAGCACAACCATCTGATACATCAACCGCTCCTCCTGAGTTTGTATCATTTGCAAACTCACTGAGGGTGCACTCTGCCCCCCCACCCAGGTCACTAATGAAGATATTAAACGCATGGTCCCAGATCAATGCTTGGCACACACCACTGCTAGTGGCTGACCTCCAGCTGGCCTTCGTGCCATTGATCACAATCACTGAGGCCTGGCAGTTCAGACAGCTTCCAGTCCACTTCACTATCCATGCATCCATATGCTTCATCAGGTTGTCTGTAATGATGTTTTAGGAGACAGTATTGAAAGCTTTTATTAAAGTTAAGATAAACAATATCCAGTGCAGGCCTCTCACTCATCAAGCCAGTCATCTTGTTGTAGAAGGACACCAGGTTAATTAAGCATAATTTCTCCTTCATAAATCCATGCTGACTACTTCCTCCCAATCACCTTCTTGTCCATCATACATTTGGAAATGGTTTCCAGGATTCTTTGTTCCATCACCTTCCCAGGGATCAAGGTGAGGCTGACAGGCCTATAGTTCCCCAGATCCTCCTTCCTACCCTTCCTGAAGACAGGAAAGAAATTCTTTTAGTCATGAACCTCTCTCAATTGCCTTGACCTTCTGAAGTCTGGTCAACAATGGCCTCACAATGACATCAGCTAGCTCCCTTAGCTTGCATGGGTGTAACCCATTGAGTGCTTGCTTCTGGGAAACAGAAGCTTCACTGCATCAGAATACTACAGTACCTTTTCCAGGCTGGCTGGGGCTATGCTTTCTATACAAATATACTAACTTCATGAACACAAACATGGGAAGGCTGAACAGAATAATTACATACTGTAATATGGGAAAAAAAAGACTAATGAGTAGTGAAACATCTTATTCTCCATTGTATCTGATGTGCAGGACGACACTGCAAAGAAAACACCATGGAGAACTCGGTTCACTCAAACCTGAATTTTCTGCCAAAAATGAAAGTATGACCGGAGTTAGAACAGCGGGCAAGAGCTGTTTTTTCCTATACAGTGACGTATGAACATGGCTATACAAACCTAAACATTATATACAACGCCCACAAAGCTGCTTCTATTCAATCACAATAGGACAATTGGAGTCAGAGCTCCAGTAACAGTAATAAAAGGATTCTACTGCCACATATTCTACCAAGTTCTCAGCAAGATGACAACTTCAGGTTCATTCAACATTGAATGATTTTACATGACATTATGACCAAAAAAAGATAATAAATCAGAGTTCATCTGCTTACCGGGATAGCCTTCCAGACTCTGCCTCACATTGTTCACAGTAGGATAAATCTTCGTGGAAGGGGAAAAAAAAAAAAAGGAACTTCAATAACACAGCTCTAAATACACAAGCTGTCAATTTTCAAGCAAAAATCACCTTGAAGACGACTTACTTGAGGGGAAAAAAAACAACTAAAAGCCAAAACATTAAAAGTTTTATTTTTTAGAATGAATAAGATTACACTGCTGCTTAAAACTAGTCATGTGCCAGTAACAAAGGCATCTTTACTTCTCTTGCAGAGCTTACCAAAACTAGCTAGCAAGACTTAAACAATCCTGCTTCAACCACTTCTGTAGTGGTCAAAGTAAGCTCTTAAAAATATTTGATGAGATTTTAGGCTCATATCTCAAATACAAGTACGCAGGGGGAATTAAATCAGCACATCTTAAGTGTATAGTTTAACAGTGTTTTGTCCTTGATGTCCAAACTCCTGCCACAAACTTGTTTCTGCTCCTTCAACAGTGCTAATAACCTGACCGAAATAACCAGGTTAGAAAACAATTTGTTTTAGGTATTAATCACTCAGGGTTCAGTTACATCTCAGTAGCAGAGACAGCTGCATCTACAAAACTCAGTGGAAGATAAGCTATAGAATGAGAATACAATTTTGATTAGATTATATATCCTCCAGTGTTATGCAGAGGGAAATTACAGTACATGTTTATAGTATAACATACATGAGTAAGTATCACTAAGTGGCACCCTTATGATTTCAAGAGGAAGACATTAATGTAGTTTTCAAAAAGTTAAAAGTAAGCCAATGACTAAAATTTAAACAACAAAAGAATAAATGCTAAACAAAGGTCACTAGCATTTAAAAAAAGCATACCAAATGAACTGGAACATCACATTTAAGGAGAGTGGTCACACTGCTGCCTGCAGCCATCAGGCTCTCCTGGAACTCTGAGCACAGCCATTTGGACCCATCAGCTCCCATTGAACCAATGCTTGAGAACTGTCCAACAACAGGCCAGGATTCCCGTGCTGGTATTGACGAAGCATGCTCTTTCAACAGCTAGAAGGAAATTGGAACATTGTTAGACTTCAACAGGCAAAGAAAACCTTAATTAGGGGGTTGATATCACTTCTGATATAATATATCCTCTGTAATTCACTTCTGAAAACAAAAGAGTAGCATTCATACTATCTACTTAACTATGCAATAAAAAAAGTCATCAGGCTCTCAAAATAAACTCACTCTTCCTTTAAGAAAAGATCAAACATCACAAGTTTTATCCAAAAGCACTGAAGCCAATCATTAAATAATGAGTAAAAAGAATGCTAGTTCTTCCTGAAAACATGAAACATGAGTTTCAGAAGTTGCAATAAATTTAACAATTAAGTCTTTTTTTATTTGGTGGTTGTTTGCCATAAAATTCCTCTCATATCCTAAATCCCCAGCTACAATAGAAGCCCAGAATAAGAGGCGAAAAAAAGAACAATTGAAGAGAAAATTAAAATAATCCTCTTAGAGTTCTTTAGCTGTGAATGGAATTTAAAGTCACATTAAAAACAGATGGATATAGGCACATATTAAACTGTACGTAGTGGCTACCTTTTCCCCCTCTAGAGACAAAACGTAATTAAATGGCTTTAGTCATCAGTGTAGTGTCACCAGGTCTATCTGCATTGTCACTAAAAAATTAACCTTTTTAATCACAGAAATATTTACCATGACTATCTTTATCCTTCACAGGCTTTTTCTGTTTTATTTTGTTTTCATTCAGTTTCTTACTAGGCAAAAAACCAAGCAGACAGCATACATCAGAAAAGGCAAGCTCTTCATGAGCAAGGGGAGATGTAAAAGAGCAACCTTGTGTTGAAATAGATATCTTGATAAATAGATACTTTGTATGTCATTGAAGTTTACCACAGACAGCATTTGAATGCCATGTAAA